TCCCTCGGTCGTATCACACGTATGGGATTTGCGCTTTCCAACTGCGCATCAGCCTTTTCTGCATGCCGCCTATTCGGATCGTCTTGTGATGTTCCTGCAACAACCCACTTTTGATTGTCCGTCGTCTAGCTTATGGCTTCAATGGGAATCCAAGCCGACTTGCGACGCCGATGACGCTATTTCCCTCCCCTTTGCTTTCCTTCTTCCTCTTCTCCATCGAATGTGGCTATCCACAGTGTCAAAAGACTCAAGACGGTGAACGGAGGCTAGGAATTTTGAAAAGTTGCATAGAGATCGTCGTCTGGCCGTACCACTTTTCTGAGATATTCTTGGGAGTTGGCAGAATTGGCCGAATGGCTGTATCCGTTACTGCGTAGGTATCCATACGACGCCCCCACCCCTCCCAAGAAGTTCTTCCCCTCTCCCTGATGACCCCAAGTCCCTCCCCTTTCCCATCAATTTGTTCTGAACCCGCGGACGGGCGAGCCCCATGACAGACTGTGCCACTCAACGGTCTCGAACATGGATACGGGATATTACGTACGCGGCCTTGCTTCCGGGTACCTACATTTTTCTCCTGCGGCACTCCATTGGCGATGGCACCTCACCAGGCTCGCACCTATTTTCCTTGCTGGCTTCCGCTTTGCTCACCACACCCCTGGGCCCCGGCCCTTAGTCGTGGCTGTTAAGTGGGGTTCCTTTTCGAAGTTGTGTAGATTTCTGGGATGACAGGCATGGCAGCTGTTCCGGTTCCAGCCCGCTCCCGCTTCTTCAATTCAATCTTGGTGTTGCTGCGCTGCTGCAGCACATGCAGCGTCACCGTGCCGGGATATTTGATAGGTGAGACGGCAAAAAGCGATTCAGCCAACAACCACCACCTGGCTGAAGGCCTACACACACCTCGGCTGCGAGATACTCAGCTGAGCGCTATTTCCGAGCTGACTCTCTCGCTAGGTAGGCGCTGGAACGCTGGCTGGCACGAGCTCGGTGGAAAAAGTCTGAAAACTCTTGCTGCCGACTAGAAACGAATCGGGGAAAAAGACGCATACAGCTTGGTCCTCTATCAGGAACCTGCTGATGTTGCTGATGGAGGTGCACCGTGTAGGGTAATTGGATGCAGCCACCATCCCGCAATGGAAGGCCTGCAGCAAGTGCAGTGCAGCCAGCCTGCAGGGAAAAAAGTCACTTATCCGTACCCGAAAAGATGGGATGCCAATTGTTTGGTGTGTATTGTGTGCCTCGTCTCATTCGTCTCGCAAACACGGAAAGAGATAAAATAGGGAGAAGCAGGTGAAAAAGTTAGATAGGACGAGCTCGGAGCACCCCAGCAGCTAGGGTTTTGGCGATTGCTGCGACATGACGCTCAATTAGGAGGTTAATTTGGAACGAGTTTTGTGACCATCGGCGAACCACCCCTCACGCAGTACGAGCATAGCCTGCTGGTAGATGATAGAGTGCCGTGATGTGAGGTTAGATAGATGAGCAGTATAGATTACCTTCGTAGAGAAACCGCGGGTTAGATAGTACCTAGATAGAGGCATGCCGCATGATGGGAACTAGAGGAAGTCGGCGCCATCCATCAATCCCCTCCCGCTTCGGGTTCGCACTTGACGTTTTGTGGGGGTTTTGCGAGGCGCAGTCGGCGGCGCCAAGGGGAAACTTCCGTTAGCCAAGAGGCTGGAGCCTGGCCATTGGATGATTACGGCGTTTCCCGTTTTCGCAGCTTGCTGCTTGCTGCTTCCTGATTACCAGCGAGGTTGCTTGTGGTCGTTCTTGCCATCTTTCCTGCTCCATACCTCGGTTTGCGAGATGCCCCCACTTGGCCACCCGTCCATCATCTTTTTGTTGCGTTTGGTCCGGGATATGTGTGTGTGTCTGTCTTTCATCAATTAATCTTCCCGCGGATATCCGTACGTTGATTTCGTTATTAACGGTGGATCGTGGGACTCTGAAGATCAAAGGCACGTTCGCATTTCGAACGGATACTATCGCTAGGCAAGCTTGTCAACTTGTGGCTTTCCAAGTTCCGAACCCCCCTTGGCTTGCCCTTGCCCAAGTTGCCCCTCCCTCCCCTGCGGCGCTGCCTTGACAGGCGCGCCATTTCCCTCGGGCCAATTTCGTCTGGTTCCGCCCCAACAGCTCGGCTCGCTAAATGAGCCACCACCTGGCACCACCTCGCACGGGGAAGGAAGGACCAGGGAGGGGCAAGCGACCAAGGTGGACGGCGTTGAATGGGACCGCGTACAGTAGCCGAGGGAAACAGTTCCCTTTGAGGAACAGCTCTTTTCTGTTGCGTTCAATGTCCTTTTCCATGCAGCTTGCCAAGTTGCCATGTGCAATCAGAGGTCAAAGAAAAACCAAGGAAACCAAGAGACGAGACAATGGAATTGGTCCAAACGATTCAAACAGCCGCTCTAACCAAGACTGCGACACACATACACACAAACCAAGCCAAGGCTCCCCCAAGACTAAGGTAGAGAGAAAGACGAGACATGGTAGGAGGTCTAGCCAGAGCTTGAGCGGCAGTTCCAGAAACATTCTTCCACAGGTTCAAAACTTGGGCCAAGTTTTGACTTCAGACTCTCCCACCCACACTGGCACTTGTCAAGTCAAGACTCAACCATGGTGATGGATCTGCCGTAAGGAGGGGTTCTACACTAGTCAAGACTCAAGAGTCAAGGCTCGATGGGAGAAAAGGGCATTCCCAGCACAATCGCCACACTGCTAGTCTCTCCCGTTTCTCCCAGAGCAGGTGCCGTCTTTGTGTCAATGTGTCCTTGGTGTCTCTTCGCGGGACGGTGGAATTGAGTTTCAAGGGTCCTGGGTCCTCGTCCCACTTGTTCTCCATTCTTTTCTCGCGCACTTCCCACTCAAGACGCGTGTTCTTGGGGGTTCTTGACTCTTGCCAACTTTTTCTTTCGCCCTTTCCTTTCTTCCACTCTTTGCGAGGTGCGAGGTGCGAGGTGCCAAAGTGTCTGTGTGCGGCTGCCAAGTCCTCGGAGGGGTGCACTTGCTTGGTCTTGGTCTTGGTCTTGCCTAGTCTTAGACTGTTGGAAATGACTTGGGAAGGAGCTTAGGTGAATGAGGGAAAGGGCAACGCGAGGCCCCAGAAACCTGGAAGGTGCAAGTCTGGAGAATGGAGAATGGGCAATGGCGCTGCAGCAGTTTAGCCTGCGGCGCACTTTACACCCGCGTACTGAAGTGCGTACACTAGGTACTTCCTGCCAAGGTGGCCCCGCCCCTCCGTATCGAGTACGGTCCTTCCTTCCCTGCCAAGCCACTCACCCATTCAAGGGCCCCCAAGGTTTCAATGGTGGAAGGTCCCAAGGTGCTCTTCTCTTTCCTCGGTTTTCCTCAGCCGTGTTCCGGTAACCGTCACGGTTCTCCATGTCGACCGTGATGGATGGGATGCTCAGGTAATACGCGCACTGCGCACCGCTCACCACCCGCGCACTTCGTACCGTCTTCGGGTCCAATGGTAGGGAGGCAAAGGCAAGGAATGACCTTCCAGAATGGCAGAATCCACCGCCTTCTCCAACATTGGAAAAAGTGCATGATTCGAGAAGGACCCCAATATTCATCGTTTCAGCCTTTCAGGGTCCTGTCAAGGCTCCCACTGCCCAGCCCAGGCCCCCCCGCCGGCGCAAGGTCAACCGGTGTCAATCAGATAAGCTCCTTCACCTTTTTTCTTTTTTAATTTTTTCTCCTTCCCTCCTCGCTCACCCCGGTACACGTCCATTTCGTTTGATTTACGAGTCTCACTCTCTGTAAATCTCTTACAATTGCTTCATTCTAGAGTCATTCGTCTGTCAGTCTCGTCTGCTATCTGCCGTGTGCTGAGAGGCAAAGGCAAATGGCCAATGTATAGTTGCACCTTGCAGAGCCCAGCCCCCATTCTCCAGCAAGCCCAGTGGCCCCAAGCTCCCAAGAGGCGAGAAAGAGAAGAGCAGCAACGCAACAAGCTGCGCCCCCGGGGCTAGCGAAAGCGCCAACGGCCAATTTACTAGATTGGATCAGGGGGGGGATTCGGGAAACAAGATTGGCAGATGGGGAGGGGTGTGGCCTTGCCGTGAATGAGCTGGGCGCGTCCATTTCCATTCTGTCAGTCTTTTTTTCTTTGCGAACTTTCGCGTATGTGTCCATACTATTATTCGCACGTATTCGTACCTGCGTACCTGCGTACCCATACGAATACTCGCTATCATTCATTCTGCCCTGCATTTTCAGCGCCGAATTTCATACACACAGACATTTTTGTTTCTTTACCTTTCTCCTTACCTGTCCATCTTGCATTTTTACTCACTCACCACATGTCTGATTGCCATGTCCACATGGCTACGCCATCGCGCATACAGACTCACAGAGTACCTGCACCACTTTGTGCTGTGTAGGCATACCTGAGCAATCCAATACCTTGGCTTGGCTGCAACCACAACCACCACAACCTGGCTGATGTTCGGTTCCTTTTTGTCTTGGCGGGAAATCTGGGAGTGGGAAGCTAGTCGGGGAGATTGGAAAGACTACTTTCTTGCATCTCAATGATGAGAGAGAGTCTCCATCGGTTTCCCCCTCCGCCCCCCTGCACCATGTCATGTCTCCATGTCCACAGTTTCTCTCACCCTTGGCCCATGGCATGGCCCATGTCCCATCCTAATCCCAATCCCCCATATCCATCCCGTCCCCATCCAGTCACTTGCACCTCCACCAAGAACCCACGCGCACTGTTTCGACCTGCCTAACTCGAAGACAAGCTGTCCTTGACCGACGGTAGTCTCTCACTCGCACTCACACTATGAGTAGTAGCAACAGCAGCAGGTGCAGCAGCAACAGCCCGCACACACTTGTGGCAGTGGGTTGACTCTTGGTGGTGAATCCAAGAAACCAAGTGGGTGTGGATGCAATGGAAAAAGATGATCCACAAATCTTTTGAAGAACCACCTTACCTGGGCACCCTCGCCTCGCTCCACGCTCCACGCTCCACGCACTCCACGACCTGCTTGCTCCTCGTTACTCGTAGTCTCGTACGGGGATGAGCCACGGGTTATACGGAGTAGGTACCGCACCGTCGTCCCTGGCATCTTTGCCGCCGCCGCTTGCTCGTCTCGTCTGGTGTACTTTCTTGGTGGTGCTTTTGCTGTTGCTGGTTGCTCTTTCTCTCTCTCCCCTGGATGGAGCTGGTTTGCGGCTTGCCTCTTGTGCTGCTCCTTTCCATCCACACGTTTCTTCTCACGTTCTCGTCTCGTCTCGTCTCTCCTCCTCCTCCCCCGGTATCCGTATCCATCCATCCATCCATCCAGTATTATTCCATTCACCTCACACCCCCGTCGCCCTGTTACGTTGGCCCGTTGTCCCGTCTGCCCGTTTCTTGTCTCTCCCGTCCCTCTCTCTCTTGACTCTTGCTCGTTTGTTCTGCCCTTTATCCAGAGCCTGCCCCCCCTCCATCTTCCTATTTCCCAGGTCATGTCCATGTCGTCTGTTCTCATCTGAAAATGGCACGAGTGTCGACTGCTTCGCCTTTGCCGTAAATTCTCTTTCTCGCCATCCCGATCCGAAAGCTGTCCGACAGGGTCCTGAAGCTTTCCTGTCACCGCGCATCTTGCCTGCCGCCAGCCAGCTCACCCCCAAGCAAGCCAAGGTCGATAATACGTAAAATACCGCATCGCCCACCTTCGACCAACCAGTTCGTCCCCGGCGCATCACCATCACCATCACCTACCCAGGTTCACCACCGAACCGACTCTTCTCTTTCCTTCTTCCTGTCCTCTTGCGACTGGACCTCAACTGCCTGTCGACCTCGTACGCAATTGTGCGGCGATAATTTGAGTTCGATTGGGGTTTTGTGTTCGTTGGGCCAAGTTCGACCACACTTTCCCTTCCTGCCTTCCAGCAGTCACCCTCTCTCGAATTCACCACGTTGACGAAACCTCGTCACCACCACCCACCAAAACAAAAAATTCGTCGATCCTTCTTTTTTCGACGAATCCAAAATTTGGCTACACAGCGCAAAGTGTTAATCGAATAACGAAACCATCCATACCATTACGAAAATGGATCGCGATAGCAGAATCATCACCCCCCGCGAGGTGGAGGGCATGATTGCAGATGGACGCACAATCGTCATTCTTGACGAAATGGTTCTTCGCCTCGACGGGTGGATGGGCAAGCATCCTGGTGGCCAGTTGGCTATCCTGCACATGGTTGGAAGAGATGCGACCGACGAGATCAAAGTGTAAGAGGCTCGACTTACCTTCCATGTCCAATTAACCTTTGGGTGCATCACATCTGCCCCCCTCCCACCATCTTCAGCTTGAGGCTGAGAACCCCCTCCGAATCTGGACCCTTATGCGGCGTGCCCCCATCATTCCCGCGGGTTCGGATAAATAATCTGAAAAGGGGTGGGACGTCGGGAAAAAAGAAGCATCCGGGAATGCGAAAGCGACCGAGATAAAATCAGAAGTCTGGTTAAGCTTATTTTTCCACATGGTCCAAATGGTGGGAGAAGGGGGAAAGGGCCAATTAATATTTCGGATTCGCTGGACATTCGGACTCCGTTATTGCTGCGTTAAGTGGAATTAGTGTGCTGACATATCGCTTTTGACAGGTACCATTCGGCTGCCACACTCAACACCATGAAGGCCTTTCGGATCGGCCGGAAACCTGCGGGTCCCTGGATCAACATGACACCACCAATTAGGGGCGGCGTCTACACCAAGCAAGAGACCACAACACCCGCATCTGCACCCAACGCTGCCGGTGCTACTGCAGATGATGCCACGGACGCTGCCGTCGACTGCCCCTCGTCCGATCTCGATGAAGATGACTCCGCCGACGATGCCGTCTCCGATGTATCTGGCGGGAGCTCCCGCACGTCCCTGACTTCCGAATGCAGCAGTGCAGAGGTCGAGACCAAGCCCGAGCCCCAGACTGAGACGGGCATTAGACGTCGTCTTGCTGCACCTGCAGACCCAACCGACGATGCCCTCGCCGCCGGCCCCGGTCTGTCGGGCCGGAGCCGCATGACCGCCGACCAGTACACCGAGTGGTCCATCCAACAGAACATCAACAAGGATCTCGACGAGTACCCTTCTCTTGACCCTGCCGTTCAGCGCGATATCCAGGAAAAGTACCGCCTGCTCCATGAGCGTATCAAGGATGCTGGTCTTTACGACTGCCCCTACTTGGACTATGGCAAGGAGATGTGCAGATACTCAACTCTGTTCGCCCTCTTCCTCACTGCTCTGCACTTTGAGTGGTACATGACCTCGGCCTGCTTCTTGGGTCTCTTCTGGCATCAGATCATGTTCTCTGCCCACGACGCTGGACACGGCGCCATCACCCACAACTTTACCTTTGACACCCTCATTGGTCTCTTTGTTGCCGACTTCTGCTGCGGCCTTTCTATGGGATGGTGGAAGAGCAGTCACAATGTCCACCATCTCATTACCAACCAGCCTGTAAGTCTTGCCCACTATTCACCGTGTCTCGATTCCTGCCACTAACACATCTCAGGAGCACGATCCCGATATCCAGAACGTCCCTCTCTTCGCCACCTGCCCTTCTTTCTTCAAGTCCATCAAGTCGACTTACTATGACGGCTTCGTCTTCGTCTGGGATGCCGCGGCCGATGTTCTCGCCAAGTACCAGGCGTACACCTACTACCCCGTCATGGGCATCGCTCGCTTCAACCTCTACCTTCTCTCCTGGCTTCACGTCCTGTCCCGCAGATCTTCCTCCCTGGGAGCCTCCAAGGCTTGGTGGATTCGCCCGACTGAGATCGCCTTCATGGCTTGCTTCTGGTACATCTTTGGCTGGCGTCTGATTCTCAACACTCTTCCCACCTGGCCCATCCGCGTCGCCTTCGTTCTGGTCTCCCACATTATCACCATGCCTCTGCATGTTCAGATTACCCTGTCTCACTGGGGCATGTCCACCTCGGACCTTGGCGAGTCCGAATCCTTTGCCCAGCGCCAGCTTCGCACCACCATGGACGTCGACTGCCCCGCCTGGTTGGATTTCATCCACGGCGGTCTTCAGTTCCAGGCCGTGCACCACCTCTTCCCGCGCGTCCCGCGGCACAATCTCCGCAAGGCGCAGGTCTTTGTCAAGGAGTTCTGCAAGGATACCGGCATCCCTTACTCCATCTTGGGTTTCGTTGATGGCAACAAGAAGGTCATTGGAAGACTCGAGGAGGTCAGCGATCAGCTTCGTACACTTCTCAACTGCCAAAAGTTCATGGCGGAGACGGGCGAAAGCGCCCTGCATTAGACACAGCATCAATGCATTGTTTCGGCGTTGGAGGGTTATTTTCATAGACTAGATAAAAGCTGTCTGCTGTCTTAATGTTCAACTGTTCATATATTCATGTTACAACATGACCTTACATATATTCCCAACTGCAGTGAAATTTCCATGGGCTACTTCATATTGACCACCGTATAATACGGTACAGTGCAGCAGTGGCAACCTGCCAGACTGTTTCCAGAACTAAAGAAACGGAACCACGTGGTGATCGAGATGACATTAACATCACTCAGATCACTAGTTCTGGGGAACCTGCACACGCCAGAGAGTCTAAATTATTCTCCGTATGGAATCCACTGATGTGATCGCCCCCGAACTGACGACGTTGAGACAAAATTAAAGTATGCATCGCGGCCTGTCCACGCTCCCGGGACCGGGTAGGGACCGTACAAATGTAATATGCAAGGGGGGAAACACGGAGGCATATCCTGGGTTGGGTTTGGCTGGGGCTGAAAAGGAGGTGGAGGAGGGTGATCGAAGATCGAGATATTCGGACTTTGGAGAGGAGATTATTGAGTCCGAAGCTAAGGTAAGGTTGTGTGTTCTGGTGGATCCGCCGGGGTGGCGCTGAGTAAGTGATGCGGACTGCCGGTGCCGATTCCGGGAGGGCCGGGCCTGGGGTTGGGTGTATGGATATATGTAATGCCTTGTTTACCCTTCTGCCTGTTTCTTTTCCCGCGTGTATTGGGGGTCGTACTTGAGATGCCCATCTCTGGGTGTGCTGGGTTGTATTCATGGTCCCGATGCTGGATGTTTGACGGTATGTTTCGTCAAGCATCTACACCAACGCCCACTCCTCCAACTCGCCCTCGTCGTCAGGCCATGCCTCCCCGTCCATAACCCCATCGACGACCGCATACCCGACGACTATATACCCGCTCCCACTTCCCCTCGATCGAACGACGAACGGAACATTCAGCCCCGAGAACACACAGATCTCGTCCCCTGGCTCCGTTTGCGAGACACAGAACCCGAAGTGGTTGTGAGTGGTGAGGAACATGCAGCCCGAGCCTATGGACGCGGTGATTTTGCCTATATTTAACCAGGCGGGCGGTGTCTGTGACGTTACTGCCTCTGCGAGCGCTTCAGCCGTGGAGAGTGCAGCCAGGGAGGCGGCGTCGGGTTCCGTTTGGGGGTCTGCGTGGAGGATGCGTACGAGGAGGGCCTGGATGCTGCGAAAGGTCTGGAGCGCGTTTTCTTGGTTTTCTTTGCTTGCGTCCGTGGGCGGTGGTGATAGGATGTCTGCGAGGAAGGCCTGGGATATACGTCTGGCTTCACCCACCCAGGCGATGAAGTCTTCCTTTTTCTCTGCTAGGACGAAGGATAGGTCGAGTAGTGGGAGTTTGGGACTGATGCGGTCGCCTATGCGCCCGACGCTCCTGCCTTTGAGGTAGAGCGTGCGTCCGTCGGGTGAGAATCTGTAGGAGGGTTTGCTGTCGCGGGATGATGATGCTGGGACGTCGAGGAGGTATCTGCTGTCTGTGACTTGTTTATTCCAGTTCAGGGCCCAGAAGGGGAGGTCTGGGACTGGAGAGGAAGTGGTTGTTGTCGATGTTGCTGTTGATGCTGATGTCGAGGTGTTTCCTCCATCGAGGAGGAGGAGATGGGTGAGACTGTCCTGTCCCATGATATGCTGCCTAGTCGCCTCACGGTAGACTTTCTCCACGGGGTCCGTGTAGTCGACCGCTACTTTTCCAAAGGTCTCTGGGAAGATGGAGCGAAGGGCGTAGATTTTGTCTCGGGGTTCCGTCGACTGTAGGTACAGCAGCATTCTGAGATGGTAGACGTCCAATTTCCCGCGGCGCGCGGCAATCTCTGCCGCTTCTTTCTGCTCCTCGGCAGATGTAGCATTCACAGCAACACCCGTAGTACCAGTCGCAGTAGAACTAGTCGTAGTAGAACTAGTCGTAGTAGAAACGTCCTTGATGATTTTCCGACGCATGTTGATGGCGAGCTGGTTCGGGTCCGGGTGACTTGTATGGGCGTCGCCCCAGTTCTGGAGGATGGTGGAGAGAGCCTTGCCCCCGCCGTCGAGGCAGAGGATGAAGGTGTTGTTGTAGGTTGCTTCCTGGAGGGTCCAGACGCGGAGCCAGTAGGGCGCGCGTTGGATTTTAGAGAGGAGAGCTGGGTCTAGGTCTTTTGGGATTGTTAGTGAGAGGATGGAGGGGTCTTGTGAGGCAGTATGAGTGAAGAGGCAAACTGAAACTCCCACGTTCAGTGCAGATTTACGTTTCCGCAGTCGGTACTCACCTGGTTCATGGTCATCTCGTGACTTCGGAACACCTTTATACAAAGCAAGCACCGAAGCGGGCGCCCACTCGTTGCCGAGCCAGACGAAGACGTACTTTGCCTTTTCGTAGAGTTCCGCCATCATGCCGACCTGGACGGTCTTCTCGTCGTTGGAGGACTGGTTGATGCAGACGGCGTCGACCCACAGCGAGAGGTCGCGGATGCGTGGTCCGCGGAGGATGTTGAGGACGGCGGCGCAGTTTGGGGTTATCATTAACGGGGGTTGGGGGGTTTGCTGGGCGCCATTGGAAGATGTTGTTGTGGTGGTGTTGTTCACTACTCTCAGGGGGACGTTTGAGGGTTCGCCTCCCCAGGTGTAGGAGAGGGCTGCGTACGAGACTGGGTTGTCGAGGGAGGTTTCCTCGAACGAGCATTCGAGGGGGGATGATTTGTCTGCGGTGTTGACGAGGCGGATGAGGCGGATTGATTTTGGGGTGGAGAAGGGTGTGTAATGATACTGAGTCGTCATTTTTGAGTGGGTTTTAGTCTGTCTGGTCTGGCATTGGTATTGATAATTGGGTTTCGATCACGATGGCGAGAGCTTGGGAGCTGGTGACCAAGTGTTGATATGTTGGAGGTTATGGAATGTTGGCCGCAGACTTTCACTGACATCGACTGTCGGAAGCCTGTAAGCTGCGAGTTGCGGGCGAGATAAGCTTCTTTTGATATGAAAGGATACGAGTGTAGATGTTGATAGACCAATGAAGAGGTTGTCAGGAAGCTATCACGTGGGATCTAGCCAAGCGGTGGAGATTCAGCCGCACTTTTCAGCTGCGAGCCAACCTAGGTTAAGTGTCCCAAAACATCAACCGTTGGGTTACATTGCCAAAACATCGCTTTTATGGACAGTTTTAACTTCATTCAGCTTAGTATCTCTTGTGAAAAGGACTTTAGACAGAAGGAGATTCAGGGACTAGGTGAATCCTTAGCGTTTCCGATCATTCGGCGCTGTGGATCATAGCAGCAAGTTCGCAACACCAACTATCTCGCGGAAGTCTCGATGATGACCGCAAAAGCAAAGTTCGCAAATAATACCACAGATCTTTTGCAAATCGATCGTTTGAAGAAGCCTGATTGCTCTACCAGAAATGTGGATGACTAGATCCTTCCGACTGAGACAGGAAAAGGGCATCAAGGCATCGGACACGGGCGTCGAAAAACCATCGACGGGACACGGAGTATCCGGTCTGAATGCGCAAGAATCTGCTTCTTTTGCGGGTGTTTTAGTCACATTAGCAGAAGTATGTCGATGCAGGGGAGGAATCACTCAAGTCTATGTACTCAACATTAGGAGTGGAATGACGCCATTCTTTCAGCTTAATTAGCTATTGACAGCTCAACGACGAGATGATCAATCGACTTACGAAGGTGATCAAGTGTCAAATGAAATTGGATTTGTATGTTCAGGATATTGAACGCAGGTGCAGCAGTGTGTAGGCATTTTGACTTGATTGAAAAGCCAATACCACCGAATATATACGGAGGTAGGGTAGGCATGGTTCCCCCCATCTATCATACATGTTGGTTGTCTCTACCCCTGTTCAACTACTCCAACGTCGTATTGCGATATATAGAAGTACTATACATACTTAGCTATTTGAAGGTCGTATTGTTCTATGCAACAGCAATCGAGCACGATAATCGGCATCTTAGGTCCTACATCAAGAGTTGAACTTGGTGGATCTGGCCAAACTCGCTAAACTTCGTGACCGTATGCACACCTTTCGTACTTTGGAAGTCTTCAGAACAACTGAGCACTCTGAATTCCTGAATGACCCCAGAAGGAGACAATTGCTAATCATCTTTGGCCGGCTTCTGAATAAAACTGAGAGAAGTCCTACTGCAAGAAACTCGAATCAGGTTTCGTTAACTTCAGACGAATTAAGCATGCCTGCGTATGCATGTGAAGATCCAAGAGTCTCGAAACGAAACGCCACCAGGTTTGATACCTGTTTCTCTATGGCGAAGCTGGTGTATGACTCGTGGCGTCACAGCGGCTTGACATTTTTTCACAGGATCGATCAGTTCTCGCGTTGATGCTTTTCAGCCTTCTTCATCTGCTCAAGATCGAGAAGATCGCCAATGCATATGCATCAGCGCTTTCTCATGCTCGCCAGATCCCAGTCATTACTCTAGTTACAGAATTATACAAATTCGCTTTGACACGCGGAGGTAGATAAAAGCACCTCGGAGCTGCCGCGACTAGCAAAGTCCGCTTACGTTGCGGGCCCCACAGCTTCAACGGGGACTTAGGAGCGCGAATGTGACAAACCCCTGGCCCTACCATACCAGTAACTTACACGTAATTTATCCGCAAGCCAAGAAACTCAGTTCTCATCAGCAATGCTAAGTCAGGACATCCAGTTGATCCGAGTTCGCCGCGAACACCGGGGCAGAAGCCAGATCCGCACCCAAGCCGGGAGCTAGGGTCAGTTCTGAGTAGGCGTGCCGCGTAGATCAAGAAGTGACGGCTATCGTGCAGAGAACTCTAAGCGTAAGATTACTTACTTAAATGGCGAATCTTTGAGCTTGTATGATGGATCCTCGTGATAGAGTAGGAGGCAAACACTGGATCTCTACAGGTGGTCGAAGATAGTACGGACGGGCGCCATAGTTGGACATGCCCGCGCATGCCGGTCAGTTATACACTCGAGTAGATAGATGTAAAGTTGGCAGCATCAACTCTCTCGCACCGAGTAGTGTATTTGGGCTCGCTGCGAGCGATTCGGTGCAACGCCCGAACTACGATCTCCTGTTTGGAAGTGATTACTCTGCTACATGGGACGGAGATTGGGTAGTTGACTTTAGACCTACCTGAGCTTTGAGCGATGTAGCCGCCGGCGAGTGTGGGATGCGTGGATAGTTGTCAACGACTAGATTAAATCTGATTCGTGTATACAATGCCGCTAGAGTAGGTGACCCTGTGAGGCAATGCTTCGTTAACGATAGAGTTTTGCGAAACCCTTTTTCTGTTACAGGAGGAAAGTTTAAATCGCGCTTGTTCGGTAAACTGTGGGAAGGAAACACCAATTTGGGACAATTGGGAGCGATAGACACGGATTCATCCGTAGAAGTATTGGCTCTCATCCCACTTTGCCGAAATAAAGGCTGGGCAGTCCCTGACAACCTTTCGGGTATCATGGCCCCCAAGTGCCCAATGCTCCATCCCCGACCGTTCGGTCCTTTCTTATTCTCCAATGTCCGCCATTGCTGTCGTTGTCCCCAAAGTTTCCTCCTGCACAAGTCCAACATGAGCCGCCTCTGATAGATAGATTAGATTGAGGCTACTGCTCGCAATTGCTGTCACACCCAAAGCCCCTTGCATATAGTCACAGTGGCCCCTTTAGCCCCTGAGGCAATCAACCAGTGAACCCCGAAAGCTTGTCGGAATGCTCCAGATGGATCCTCATGGGGCCTCCGAACCCAAATTGACGGGTTGAAACAGTCTGATGATTTTAGAGTCTGTTCGGTTTCGAATGGGACGGTCATGCTGTTCATCAAAAGTATATAGCTCGACATTGCTGCCGCTGGGGACCTTCAGACGATTCTAGTTCGGCACAAGCTTCGCTTCTCTCAACTTCAAGTCACTCCTTTTTGACCTTCTTCGCACTTTGTTGACCAACTCAGCATCTGCACTTTGCCCGTCATGGCGCTTTCCATTCTTTCCGCTACTCTTCTTCTCGCCAGTCTCGTCTCCGGTCAGGCGCCTGGCAATTCTACCGATGAACACCCCAAGATCGAGACCTTCCGCTGCACCGTCAAGGATGGTTGCCAGAAGAAGACCAACTACCTCGTCGTCGACTCAAGTCAGCATCAGATCAAGACTTCGAGCGGCGTAAGCTGCCTTACCGGCAACAACCCGCCCAACTCCACTGCCTGTACCACTCCCGAGGAGTGCGCGACCAACTGCCACATCCAGGGCATCGCCGACTACAGCACCAAGGGTGTCACGACCCACGGCACGGACATTCGTCTGACCATGTTCAATGCCGACCAGCAGAAAGTTTCTCCCCGCATCTACCTGTTGGAGGAGAACAAGCAGCGCTACGAAATGATCCAGCTCACGGGATCTGAGTTCAGCTTCGACGTCGACATGGTCAACTTGCCCTGCGGCATGAACAGCGCGCTCTACCTGTCCGAGATGCTTCCGGACGGTGGTAAGAACACAAGCTCCTTGAACAAGCTTGGTCCCGCGTGGGGCACCGGCTACTGCGATGCGCAGTGCTTCAAGACGTCCTTCATCAACGGAGTTGTGAGTCCCCCTATTCTCCCTGCCCAACACTGTGCATTACTAACACGAGAAACAGGGCAACTTTGACCAAAAGGGCTCTTGCTGCAACGAACTTGACATCTGGGAGGCCAACTCCCGTGCAACCCACATCGCGCCTCACCCTTGCAGCCAGCCCGGCCTTTACAAGTGCACCGGCGAGGAGTGCGAGAAGGCTGGCGTCTGCGATAAGTCCGGCTGCGCCTGGAACGCGAACCGCGTCAACGTGACCGACTTCTACGGCCGCGGTGCCGACTACAAGGTCGACACTACCCGCAAGTTCACCGTCGTCACGCAATTCCCCGCCCAGGACGGCAAGCTCAAGGAGCTCCGCCGTATGTACGTCCAGGACGGCAAGGTCATCCAGAACAACGTTGTCAACATCGAGGGACCGCCGAAGATCAACTTCATGAACGACGAGTACTGCCAGGCCACTGGTGCCTCCGACTTCATGCGGTTGGGTGCTATGGAGGTCATGGGCGGTGCCATGTCGCGTGGTATGGTTTTGGCCATGAGCTTGTGGTGGGATGACTCGACCTTCATGTCGTGGCTCGACCAGGGAAACAACGGCCCTTGCAACGCTACCGAGGGCAACCCCTCGGTCATCACCTCGATCGTGGCCAACCCTGAGGTGACATTCAGCAACATCCGCTTTGGAGAGTTGAACTCGACTATGAACATGAGGCTTTAGGCTATAGGTCACTACCACATTAATTGAATAACTAGCCTCCTGAACTTTCGCCCACATTACTTTGATGATTTAAAGTGAAGCGGCCTGAAAACCGAGTGATGCTTCTGTCGAAGCCTGGGGGGCTTTCAGGATTTCTCATACTACACCCCCGTCTCAACGACAGTGATACGCTTAGCACTTCTTCATAGTTGATCCAATGATCTCAGCAGCTTGCTCTGCCAGAGCGTAGACAGCCACTTGTAGGTTGGCCGAAACGGAGACAGGAAACACTGAAGTATCAACAACACGAAGACCCAATACCCCAATCACGCGCAAGTCTGTATCCACAACAGTACCCATGGAGGCTGTGCCTGCAGGATGGTAGCATCCTCTGTAATATGTGTTAGAGGAAGTTGTCTTCATCCGCAGGAAAGCATCACTTACCCTGCCATCTCGCGCACCCGGGCATCGATCTGCTCGTCTGTGGAGTTCACTGTTAATGGCTCTGCCGCTAGCTCGCCCGCCACCACCTCTCTTCCCAGAATCGTTTCATCAGACGTCAGCAACTTGATGTTGCGTCTGATAGTCTCTCTAGCAGCGTAGCGGTCGACATTGGTACCCAAGAAGTTGGGGTCGATGAGCGGCGCATCCTTAATTTCGGCGGATTGAATGGTAACAGAGCCTCAGGCAGAGTTGATAAAGACAACCGAAATCATCAAGACCGCTGAACCATCCGCGGAAACCTCCGAGTACTGGAGCAAGTGTGATGAATGAGCGCGATCTTGCTTCAGCAACGGATGTACAGCGGGATCCGGGACTGATCCCTCGTCTTCGGCAATGGCAACAGCCAAACCTTCTTTCTCAAGAGAAGTGACCGTCATGAAGTCGATGAAAGCCCCCAGTGCGTATTGAGACTGGTTGAAAATGGGATTGCCGGACTCCTTGGCGTATCCTGCTTTTGCGTCCTTCAACTTCCAGATCGTTGGGATCAGAACGTGATCGTGGAAGTTCTGGCCAATAGCTGGTTGATCTAGAAGGACGGGGATATCAAACTTCTGCAAGGTATCCGCGGGACCTATGCCTGAAAGCATCAGGATCTGCGGCGTGCGGTACGCGCCAGCAGACAAAATGGTCTCTCGTCCCAAAAGATCAGTCCCGTTCACAAGTCTGATTCCACGAGCAACGAGATGACCATCCTTTGGGTGCTTCTCCACAAGAACTTTTGCGACCAAGCTATCTGTCAGAACCGTGATGCCTTTAAGAGAGTAAACGAGCGAAGCAAGTTGGCGTTTGCCTTGATTCCTGTTCTCCTGAAGGTCTGCAACACCAAGGTTGTTTCCGGCATTGTTGTCCAGTTGAGGGAGTGCATCGATGCCAAGCTCTCTCCAGGACTCAAGTAGGGGTTCGCGGAGAGGGAAAACGCGACCGGTGGATCCTGGTGACTGAACCTTGACAGGGCCAGTGTGCCCGTGAGAAAGAGGGTTGGTCAAGTTGTCAAAAAGCGACTCGGTCTTCTTCATGTACGGAAGTTGACCTTCGTAACTCCATCTTTGGTCGCCAACTCTCTCGGCCCAGATGTCATAGTCAACCTTGTGTCCGCGGGCCCAAGCAGCTTCTCAGTCGTTAGGTGATGCATGCCAATTCTGCGAAACAGTTGAGCTTACCTCCATTGATAATGGTGCCACCTCCGAGTCCCTTACCGACGGGCGATACAATCTCCCGGTTGTCAAGATGGGTTTGTGGAACAGAAGAGAACCCCCAATCGTATTCGCCACCGATGGCATTGTTCATGTCAATCCATTCGATGTTCTCGACGGCATGGGTGTTGGTGCCAGCTTCGACAAGGAGGATCTTCAAGCTCGGGTCTTGTTCAAGTAGCCTATTCGAAACTACGGAGCCGGCGATACCGCCACCGACCACGATGCAATCCCACAGAACCATCCTTTTGGTGTTTGCCTTTTACTAGTTTTGATAGACCAAGGCCTGCGAGAGAAAAAGAATTGAGAAGTATTGGTTGGCGAGGGGGGTCACAAAGAATACTTAGGAGGCACAAGACACGTGTCTTCGTGTCATCTAACAAATTATTCAAACCGCTCTCCAAGTGTGTTTACTCAGCTTTCAATCTCGGTTCAGCCAGGATATAGTAGGGCTTGAGCTCCAGCTTGCATACAGCGTAGTATTACGAATACAAGACCTGATAAAATTGGACGCCGTCCGTTGATCCTGGACGATGTATGGTGTAGACTGCCCTGTGCGGGCTCCGAAGACGATGAAATGGGTTCATGTGCATATGGACACTTGCTTCATGCTGTTGGGCAATTCTGTGGGCTCTCACCAACCCTTCAGATAACTCTCCGCTACACTGCATAATGGCGTGAGAACTGGGGGACTGAGCAGCGCCAGGATATGTCGAATTGATCGGGATATTCGCCACGTCAATCAATTTAGATGCGAGGCATTTCTGATGTGCTGGAGCTTGCCGGCCGCGGTCAAGAATGTCACTGGATCGGTAATGACTATTTCCAGAAAGAAGGCCATGTCAAATCAATTTTGGCCCTATGAGAATGGAGTTCATTGGATACACTCTTTGACGTATTGGTGGTGCAGTTGGGACTCACATCAAAAGCCCTTTCCCCTCCTACTTTCCTTACTTGAATCCTGGTAATGGAGGAAAATCAACGACTCATCAGGCTAGGGGCAGTCCTGACAGGGTCGACGGTTGGCTTCAGCATACGAATACAGGTGATACCGTGACATGATAGGCCAGATTGCGATGTGCAGCTTACTTCGTGCTGTTGGTTCAAGGTAGCAATCAAGCATGTCCATGTGGATCCCAAAACTTTTGATTGACGGGGTCAAGGTATCACGGGACTGGGAAAAACCATGAAATCTGCGTTGGGCCACGGGCGCGTTGACTAAGGTAACCTTGTGCTTGGCTACTTGGGTGAAGCCATGGCTCTTTACTCAGGGGTCGCAATCGGAGGAGCCACCTTTTTGCTGAGAACAGTGGCTTCGGCGGTGTTTGTTTCTTGGAGTGTTCCTGAGTCTTGGCTTGCAAAAGAAAGGTGGCATCCATCATCAGGATAGTTCCTGTTACCTTGTGACGATGCATTTTTATACCGACCTATCGGAAAGATCCCACTTGAAGCAAAGAGATACATCTATTTTCACAGAAGTAGAATGTCTGCGACGTAACCCCTTTTGCGACTGCCTGATATGAGAGGGTATCACCATGTTGTTTTACCATGTTTTTCTGAACGAAGGGACCCAAATGCAGACCGAAAAGTGACCTTCTTGTAACAGGTGATATAAATCTCGATGTTCGCAGGCATTGATATAATGCCTGAGTCTTGATAAGGAGGATATGTGGTTTATAAGAATCTGTTGACCTAATATTCCCAGTAAAGCCCACCGAAAATGAGCACCCTCCCCCCTCCTGGTCATTGAGCAGGCACTCTCGTTCAGCTTCAAGATGACGAGAGAAGTTCTGAGGGAAATATCTCTCCCGCGGCATTAAACATCGAAAACAGGAGCATCAAAGTTGTAAGCTGAAAAAGTAGCTGAGATCTGGTTCGCCATATTGGGTCAATGACCCGAGAAATGGTTCGCAGTGCGGCCCGACAATGGCGGCGCAGTTGAATTAGCCAGGGGTTAATGGCGGAGGGTAATGGAGCGTGAACAGATTCGTGAGGCCGCATAAAGAACCAACCGCCAAGAGCAAACATTGGAGACGACCACAGCCAACACGATGTCAAGGCTTCGGAATGAAGTGGGCGACACGATGAGTCCGATTTCTGTGTAAGCTTTATAATCTTGCGAAACCTCGAGTGTAATTGTGTTTGTGTCTCTGTTCATTTCACGTGGCGCTCTGAACAAAGAATTTCCACTACCTCAGGGAAGTGTGGAAGGGCAGAAGACGAGGATCATCCACCTAAACAAGGTTCTCATGGATTGCAAGAGACTTAGATGCGCAGAGACTTCTTTTGGGAAGACATTCAAGCTACAAGAGACTAAATTATTCTATGGAACTGTATCTAATTTGCCAGACAGATGTGGCTTGTCAACGGCAATGCGCCAGAAGACGACATGTGCCCGTCAATGTTTACAACGGTCATTTTGAAGTCTTGAGCCCAGTTGACCTCTTGCCAAGTTGCGTAACTAAAATAGAGCGGGCTTGGAGTAATGCCTTTACCATGGTAGACACCCTGCCCTGGCTATCTCGGTGTGGCCGGAAGTTGGCTGAATCCCTAGGCTAGGATTTGAGATTGTTTGCTTGCCAAGTTGCCCTAGAGCGCGCTTGCCCACCAGTCCGGTACGCCCGCACACAAGTACCCGGTCATCTGATCCTTTGAAGGATTGAAATGAAGTTGACGCAAAGGCAAGTGATGTAGAAATTCAAGATGCTAGATGTTTGCCTTCATGCTGACCGGCGTTTTGCATGATTTGTTGACAAATCTTCCTAACCTACCGCCTGATTTAAGGTTACTATTGTTCTCGACATGTTTGGGATGACCAAACCTTGCAGATTGTGCATGCAGATGCGACAAGGCTCTTGGCCCTATTTCCGCCTCTTGATTGCCCGACCGGTCCCTTTCCTTGACCAAATGTACGAAGTAGCGGGATTATTGCACGTTCAAAAGGCGGACGGTAGATCTTCAGGAAGCAGTCAACTTTCCCAGATACCATAGATGTCAACACGCTGCTTGGATGTTCACGGCATTTGAAAAACACTGATGAGATCTTCAAAATTTTTGATCCCAGCCTTTCCGTCGAAGTCCAACTTGTTACTGCAAGATCTGTCTGGAAAGTCGACGTTACATTGTGACTCGCTCGAGCTTCCCGCTACATTATGCGCCACCCTTGAGTATTGTGTACTTCAATAGCACACTGCAGCTCCGATGCCGATCTCATTCGAGGAGCAACCATTTCAAACTCGACCATGACCGCAGTCGTGTCGCTTCTGCTCGACCAGAGGCACGACTATGCTGTCCATGCACGCAAAGCCCCGACCCCTTATCCACCAATGACACTTGATGGACGAAACCTTGTTATCGTATCTTGCATCATGATGGCACTTACAACTGTTTGGACTATCATGCGCATTATGTCAAAATACATCGTTGGCGCAGCGTATCTTTTTGAGGATTATTTCTACGTGCTTGGTCAGGTGAGCTGCTCTGAAAGCTTCAGGCTATGCTGGTTCGCAGTTGACTGATTCCCGGCTCTTCTAGCTTTTTTTTTTACGGCGCCGCGACCTCTTGCATTCTCTGTAAGTTAACTGCTAGACCAAGGAATATCAATTAAGGCATTACAAGACTGTGGCGTTGCTAAGAGACAATCTTTACTCAGCGGTCGTTCTTGGAGGCGCAGGACACAATGTTTCTGACCTTGAACACAACATCCACGTAAAGTGCTTTTACAAGACATTCCTGGCTGCACAAGTCACATACGCCGGCGGGCTACTAGCTATCAAACTGAGCATAATTCTGTTGACTCAACGCATATTCTCGGATTTCGGTCGCTGGTTTCGGATTTGGTGCTGGGTCGCAATAGGGCTCTCCATCGTTTGGGGACTTTACACAGGCCTCGTTGGATTGATAATTGCAAAGACCAAGCCAGACAACCAAGGCAGCAAGCTGCTATTTAGTCTGGTGCCTATCTTCGACATTATCACCGATATCATCATTGTCGTTCTTCCCATGAAAGTTGTCAGCACCTTGCAAATGTCGAAACCACATAAAATCGCCCTCTACCTCATCTTTGGTGCGGGTATCATGTGAGTGATGTTCTGTCGAGATTTCAAGTCAATGCTATTGACGGCTCTACTCCAAAGACAAAGATACTGATGCAAAAACTGAATGCAGCACCATCCTGTTCTCTGGTGTCCGTTTATATCATACGCTTACCGTCGACTACGGGAACATCACGAAGAGCTTCGCTTCTGCACCTTATAGTGCTGTGCTCCAGAACGGCATTGCAGTCATGGTGGCATCGAGTCCCGTTCTTCGACCCATATTCGATCGCACGATAGCTCGGTGGCTCAATTTATCAATACGAGGCAACGGAAGGACTGTTGCGACGGGGCCTCTGAGGACAATAAGGACATTCAGAGGCCCCGCAACCACACGCAACCGTTCTGATGCGCGCACGACTCTAAGTCGGAGCGATGGTTTCAAGCAAATGACAGACAACAGCGATGTGGATGACAGCCTTGGCTGGGAAATGGAAGGGCTTGAGACCTTGCGGCGGAAAAGTGACCAGGCGCAAATCTCGGCTCACGCAGAAGCCCAAGCACCTGATCGCGTCAGTCCTCTCTCACTGGGCGGAGGTATTTCTGTTACACATACATTTACGATAGAGTCTCATGTGACCCGGCTACCCTCGTTTTCGGGCTTTGTCTCCACAGATAACCAGCCCAGCAAAGCCGACGTAGCTTAGCATAATCAGGGGGCGCTGGTGTTCATCATAACAGAAAACCAGAAGGTCTTCAAATCTCAACATCTGATACACGGTTACGGCATGAAGAACGTGGCTACTTATGTTCGTTTTGCTTGAAATGGTTTGAGTCGAGAGGAATATGAGTCTCTGGACTGAGAGGTACCTAGTAAGGAAGAAGGGCAGTGTAACCTTCCTCCATGAGACTAATTCAAGGGTCATATTCGACAGCAAAAGCTCTGGTAGAGGCCTGTCGTAACTATTCCAAGTACTTCACCGCCGACCCCAAGTAACATTTTTGCCCAGATCTCAAGGCTTCTGTCTACCGAGCATCAAGCTCTACCTGCCTCGTCAACTTCTCTTACATCTTGCTCTACGCTCTTCGCATCATCGGATCTTAGAGCCGGAGGTTGGGCCCTACGATCACCTTCATAGCCGCTAAACAGGATTATCAGTGCCGGAACAGGCTGAGGTGAGGAGTTATTTCGATGAACTTACAACAAAACATCCATCTGGTCGATTGTGACACCCTTCGTTTCGGGCAGAAAGAAGAATGCCCAGAGGGTAGCTGTGAGCATCCAGCATGCGAAAAAGAACCAAACACCATAGTCGAGACTACTAAAGATGTACGGAAGAGCTTTTGTGATAATGAACTGGATCAGCCACTGGGTGAAAGCGGCAAAGGTTCCAGTCAAATTGCGGAGAGCACCGGGAAAGATCTCTGCGGAGACGATCCATGGGATACCATTTAGACCGAAAGACCAGCTGTACCAGTCAGTATTACCGTTCTCTCTCATTTGCAAGCAAGTAACCCACAATACTGAGTAGATCATAATGGCGGCGGTAGCGGCGCGGCCGCCAGCTTCGGTCGAGGCGGAAAGCTTTCCCCCAGCGGCGATAATGGGTGCCGGATTGCCGACCTTCACGTAGGCACCAACGAACCATAGACAGAGAGAACAGGCCAGAGATGAAATAATCGTCGGTCTCCGTCTTCCCCAAATATCGATAAGTGCACCGTAAAAAATGATGGAAGCGACGGCCTTGACCAGACCATAGATGCCCGTGTATAGGGCCACATCACTGATGCCAATGGAACCAAAGAGCATGGGAGAGTAGTAGTTAATAGCTATAGCTTGTTAGCAGTGGGCTCAATTAGATGATAGCAATAAACTCACCCGCGGCACCGGACATGTTCTGCAAGGCAAACGCGCAGAAGACCAAGAGCAAACGGTTCCACATTCCTTTTCGCGAAAGTTCGTGTAGCGATCCTCGGATGTAGGCGTAGAACCCGCCGCCATAAGTCGCCGCAACCGAGGCTTCCTCAGCAAGTCTGGCGCGGATCATTTCCACTTCCTCTTGCATGTATTGATGATCGATCGGCAAGTGTCGCAAAGCAACAAGGTTCTTATTCGCCTCCTCTTCGCGCCCCTTGCGGTAAAGCCACAAGGGCGACTCATGAAGCAGAAATCCACCGATCAATAAAGCTCCAGAGGGAATGAGCTGAACAGCCATGGGCACGCGCCACGATGCTGAGCTTGTAGCACTCATGTTCTGATTGATGCCATAATTGATCCAGAAGCCGATCAAAGATCCTGTCTGGTACGTAACCTCAAAAAGACCAGTAAGAATACCTCGGATTGAAGGGACCGATAGCTCGGCGATATAGGAAGGTACCGTGGCCGTGATCACACCACAGCCCCAGCCGGTGAGTGCTCTGCCAGCATACATGTATGCGAGGTCGTTCTTGGCAGCGACCATGGGAATAGCGCCAGCAAGAAACACAATGTTGCTAATGATGAGTGCCCACTTGCGACCAACATACTCCGTGACTATGGATGACAGGCATTAGCTTCGGCGATGGAGTCTGATGTTTACGGGGGTTATGAGGGCATACTGAAGAAACACATAAGCGCGCCGCCTAACGCGCCGGCTTGGAAGGCTGAAGTAATATTGGAAGATATCTCCTTGGATGTGAGCGATGTGATGCCAAATTCATAGACGAAGCTCTTGCGCGCAATGGTTGTTCCAATGAAAGCGGAGTCATATCCGAAGCTGTCCAAGCCGAATTAGCACATTCTCTGAGGGGCCGCGCAGGGTTAGACCGGAGAATGAAGCAGGGACGAACAGCAAAGAGCCCATCGCAATGATGAAAGACTCTGTATAGAGACGCCAATTGTACACCTCCTTCGGCGTCGGCCGATCCTCGACCGCACGAAATCCACCCATTCTCGCTGACCGATGAGACCTCGGGTTGAGATCTTGGTTCACCTTTCGGTTGTAGTTGAAAGAAGGTTGCGCGCGCTTAGACCGGGCGAATGAGCATAAAGATTGCGGTCAAGACTGACAGAGTTCGAACAAGCGGCGGCGGTGCTACCAAACTATGCAGCTCAAGGCTGTTGTACACTACATAAGAAGGGAGAAAACAAGAGGAAGTCTCTATGAGAAGCGAGGTTTATCCTCGATTTCCGCACTTATCCCCGCAAAGATCCTCCACCGTCCCACACTCGGATCATGGGGGCGGGGTGAAATCTGGGGAATGGCGCGCGCTAGCTTTGGTTGACACTAAAGGAATCGATGCTCGCTGGGGGATTTGGTAGCAGGTTTACACCCCTCGCCCTCATTGACCCGAGAACCGACAAGTTTCCAAGGCACTGTTGCACCAATTAGACCATTCAAGGGGGGCCAACACGCCGATCTGACCCGAAGGACAGGGGAAGTCATGAGAGCGGGCAAGTCAATTGGAGAAGACGGGCAAGCGACAGTGGGGTTATTGGAGTTGAGTTGTATTCATATTGGATAGCAGCGGCCCCTCCACTTCTTCAAAGACAAGGGCAGGAAACGCATTGATGCAGGGAAGCAAATCCCACGGCGGTGAGAACAGCTCTTGAACCCTCAGCCAGTAGGAGACTCAATCTGTGGAATGACAGTGTTACCGGCAAGTTCTTAATATCTTGTGAGGAGGAAGGTATCCCCACAGGGAGTGATTGTCAGGGCATATAACAGAGCCCTCATCAGCTTCTAATTGCAAATACCAGCCGCATTTTGGTTATCTTAAAGGGAGTCTCCAAGGGGCATCCTGCATGCATGCTCAGCACTGTTAAGCCCTTGACATTGTGTGCGAACCGTAGATGAGAGCATTGCTGACCCGCCAAAGCCATTTTTGTCAACAAGATTGTTAGACGATGAACACGTCCAGACCGACCAAATAACACTCGATGTGGATCCGCGGGGCTCAGTTCATGAACACGCGGCAAGACCATTGACCCTCATCGAGGACTCCCAAATCAGCCATTGTCGAACATGTCTTGAACCAATCAAAACTCTTCTGCACGCTGTTCCTCAATGTCTCCCTCTACACCACGTCCGCGATGTTTCATTTTCTTCAAGATGTGTCCAGCGACGTATTGCCTCCCCCATTTTCACCCTTGATCCTCTTGCTTCTCTCTTAGATTCACAAAAGCCCCGAAGCCACACAAGATCCAACTTTAAGTAACAAGCGCAACTACTGATATAACGTGACAGTGAAAGACCAGTATCGCAAAGCATTGGCAAGCCTGTGGGCGTGGTTAAAGATGAGCTAGAAGCCTTGGGATGGGAACTCGCTAAGAAGTGGAACGAGTTGCTTAGCTTTACATGGAAACCCTGCCGCTCCCTGAAAGGGCCGGACCATCAGGCTTCAGCCTCGTATTCTTGACAATTGCTGTGGATTGACATAGCGAGCAAAAGCAATGAACGGGACTGCTAAGACGACCGTAGTTACCGCTGTAGAATGCCGTATGTAAGCGTCAAGTTGAGTACTATGGGCCTCAAGGGATTCCATGCTAGTACTTCCGGGATCGTTGGCAAGCTCCACATTATCATTGTTAATGAAAGGGAATTTTCAAGATAGGAAGAACAAAAAAAGCAGGCATAAACGAGGCCAAAAGGAGAATGATGACGTGGTCACAGCAGTGAGCACAGTGACGAAAGACACGTATTTTGGGTCTCGAAAGGGTTTACCTCTCTGGTTTCGAGGTCTATGAGATCCTCAAGTTAGGAAGGACAGTTAGGATGCAGAGATACCCAATCGCTTGAGAGTCGGTAAAGCCCTGTGTTCCTTGCATGACGATATACTCCCTCTTTTCCGTTTTGATCCAATTGCTTGACCTAGGCAATCCATCTCTGCACGGCGCAGTCGGACTTGTCTCGGAATGCCCAATATCCGTCTTTTATGGTTTCCGCAAGATTTCGTTTATCCTTGACCCGCTCTAGCGGTTTCATCTTCTGCTGCTTCTTATTTTCTTTGTCCACTAGCGAATGGACTCTCTTGTCTCCTTCATTTTGGCCCTCATGCCAAATTCGTTAAAGCAACGAATCTCTCCATATGTTTCTTGCCAATCAGCCGACGGACCAGAAATGAACCTGAAAGTCAATGTAGTGGATTGAGTAGTCAAATGTCTCCGGGTGGTGTATCTTTCGTATTGTAATTCGATTTTATTGGAGTCCAAATTCAGGCATCAAGCCATGATCACCTCTGCGAGGTCAAAGACAGAATTAACAGGACCTCTTTCCTTTTCTGTGAGACGCAGAATAATGCTCTCAAGAATTTTACCTGTATCCGGAATTCCATTATCGCGTGGAAACCCTTTCGAGTTGTTTCAGGCTGATGAGAAATTGGTGACGATTACTATTCTTGTGAAAACCACCGTAAGTTTCAAGCCTGGCATTCCTCTATGCTAAGTTCTTACTGTTATTCAAGACAAAGATCCATAACTGTTCAATCATCGTTGAAGATAAGGGAGTCTTGAGGCGAAAGCCACTGCACAGTCTACACTGGTGATCCTCCCCAATCTCGGAATCCGTATCTCTTGAGTGCATTGAGGTTAAACGAAGCTACAGATCTCCCCATGACGCAAAGCTCATGCGGAACTATCTCAGGATGCTATGGTAACTTGAGAGTACTTAGTAGCGATCAAGACAGGTCTTCATCTACTAGGTACTTCATGCAAATCCATGAGAATCCAAGCCATGTAAAAACTTGGAATAATCATTAGTGAAACTCAAGTTGAAGGGTCTTCCGGTAAAAGCTGCTGTGTCTCTCAAAGCAGGAATTTTCCAACTCTGAGCAAAAGTATACTGCTACGTTCTCGTGTACTTGTAAGTGCACTGACTCTTTGCATGTGGGCGCTTATTATCAATTTGGGTAGTAGTGCAGTTATCCCGTCACAGGCCTGTACTTGACATTTCCTCGGACCATATGATCCTACTAAGTCCAGAGTTCATTTACGTAATCCGCGCAGTCTGGTGGTATTGTTTGTGAAGTATGTGCTCTGCGAACACGTCTCTTACATCGCTCAAATTGAGCAGAATTATCGCATGTCTTGATCCATTTTCCGGCTTGTCTAAGCTTCACATAGATTGCCAGTAAAGACAGCCCGTACTTTGGCGTTCAATCGGCCTCTGGCATAGCGCACTGTAGCTGGGTTTCCCTGGGCTACAGTGTCCGGTCCGTCCGGTGGCTGACGGGTTTGCCCCGCTCTTGAGTTGGATTGTGGCTGAATAGAAGCATTTGCTCAGATAAGTCTGTCAAAGACCAATTTGAACATCTTTCAACGGGATGAAGGCTGAAGTACTGTTGGAGACATCGGCGAAGCTGCTTTGACCGACTGCGGCTCGGCGTCGGATGAAATGTCTTTTCGTCAAGATGCCCGGTCTGTCGGCAACTGGGTAGATACTGTAAGCCCCACTAGTCGGCCGTTTTCCGAGCTAGATGGCACCATCTTCAGAATTCAGCGAGAATAGGCAATGGGATTGACCTCTCAGAAGCTCCCCCAACCTCAAATTTCGTTCTAGAAGAAATCTTACGTTGCTCATGACCCCAAATGACTCTGTCATTCCACTTTGTTTCCCCACAATACCTCCGCAAAGTCATCTCACATCCTCCACAGAAAGTCTGTTGGCCCCCATCGACCTCCGTCATGGTTCATGGGAGACTCATCCGAACTCACAAAAGGAGAGGAAAGCTTTGACCGGAAGACAAACACCTAAACGAATGGGTATGCGACCCTACGGAGTAAGGTACGTAAGGCGAAGTTGACAAGGGCACGAATGACAAGAAGTGACAGAACTACTGGAGACCTGCGCTTGAAAGAACCAAAAGAAGACCATGTCCCAGCATCTCCAGATCGGGGAAACCCATCATCCTGTGGTTTGCGGGGCACCGCTGGCGATACTCTCGGCCATTAAACCTTGTCCCTCCCTCCGCACCCATGGAATGGTAACAACGAGCAAAGTGCCGTCGTAATTACCATCTTCCCCATGGCATCATGCGCCAAATCGATGGTCTCTGCCCAGCGGCCCTCGCTTGCCACGCTTTTTCTGCCTCTGGTATCCAGCTCAAAGAGAGACACTGCATGCTGCATTACGACGCTGATGCTGCCGCTGCGAGCTTGTCGGACCGCTCAACCACTCGGATGGCGAGTCGATGCAACAAATCGAGACCGGCGGCTATCTCCAAGCGTTGAACCATGCACACGAGCCCCAGTCGCCGACAGTTTGGGCTTAACACCAAGAGCTTTGCAATAGCTTACATGTAGCTGTGTCTGCGGCCCAGGCCGTTCTGTTTCTGTCTTCTTCTCTTCATGAAGAAAAGCACATAATGAGTTTCAGCGAGCAATACCGCGGGCGAACCCCCGCGCCTCCGCAACTCCCGCATTTTCCCTCTTGCTACTTGAAGGCCAATCTGCCACTAAACCCACCAATGCTGGGGTCAGTAGCGTGACCTGATTCCAAAAGTTGCAAATTACCTTAGACCACCGGCATGGCCGCCCCGCGTTTACTCCAGTCTTTCCCCAATTTCTAGGATTGCCTACCTAAATTCTTTCGTTTCCCACGCAAGGCTTGACCCAACCCCCGTGGGGCCAAGACCAGTGGTTGGGTTTCTTTTCGGCCCGTAAAGACAGTCCAAGAAACTCTCTCTGTTAGTTGCTTCTTGATTTTTTTGCTCTACTCTCGTAACCATCATCGTCATGATCCGTCTCCGCCGAGCCTCAGTAGAACCACACGCCCAGGGATCATGACTCCTTACCCTTGGTCCGTCTGCGGAGCTGTTTCCTTGGCTCTGCCCTGGCTGACGTCGTATCGAGAGCTCCGAATGACAGCTTCCCCGGTCCAGTCGGATCGTCGTGCAGGCGTGCGCAGCGCGCGCAGCCAATATATAAGATGAACGCCTTGAGGGCCTGCGTTCG